TTTAGCTGCTATAACAAAACAATCTTTATCCATCCTTTCCAGGATGAGAATTCCTTTTCCATAACAAAAATCTTCCTAATTTCCCATTGGCAGTACTTGTAGCCTTTCCTATTCAGACTGAAAAAAAGCTATAACTATGAAAGCCTACAACAAATTCATAAAATATTTAAATGGCTTGTATGCTATCGCACAATATTATCTATAGCTATTCTGGGAACACATTAATATTCAGTTGTTTGGGGGCACCTGGGTGGCTCGGTTAGTTAAATGTCTGACTCTTCATTTTGGCTCATGTCATGATCCCATGGTTCATGAGTTTGAGCCCCACATTGGGCTCCGTGCTGACAGCATGGAACCTGCTTGGGATTCTCTCTCTTCCTCTCTCTCTACCCCTCCCCTGTTTGTGCTCTCTCTCTCTCAAAAAAAAAAAAAAAAACAAAAAACAACAACAACAACAACAAAAAAACCAACAACCTCATTTGCTTACAATGCTTTTGGAATACAGACTGGAAGACCTCTTTGACAATTTTGAAAGCTCCCAGGGGTTCCAGGTTGACAGGTTGAGAACCATTACTGCAAACCATATATTTTATCATGGACCAAGGCCATAATCTCAAGAACTTTATCTTTCCAAGGTTATCACTTGAAATAAAACCATCAACCATCTGCACACACACACTCACAAAAGAAATACGCAATTTCATGGTGAAGTGCTAAGCAGAAGAAATGAAAATAGTTGTGAATGAGTCACAAGCTGTGGGCACTGAAGTGAATATGACACTTCTGAGCCTAGGGGTTTCTTCTGTTGGCTCTGTTACAGAGGTTTAGCATAGGAGGTAGGGACATGAGAACCCTGATGGGGGAGGAGGGGTTCTTTTCTAAAAAGTATGGGATAAAGTTGCCTTCTCCTTCTTTATAAAGTCTTCCTGTGTCAGCAGGCTGCCCACCCCCAACCCCAACAAAAACAGGGGCAGCCCCTAAATGCCAAAAGAATAATTGTCTGAGCTTTGCATACTGAAATTGAGTTGGCAAGCTCTCCTCCTTGCAAAGAACACAAAGAACTTAGTTTAGTCTGTGTGTAAATGCTCCACAATCATTACCAAAACATCCAAAGCAACATGTTCAAGGGAGGGTAATGAAGCTTTGTTTCTCTCCCTTAGTTGTAAGCTTCTGACATTCATTTACTTACTTACAGTACTTAGCAGCAGCCAACCTTCTTGGTCAACATGTACTCTTGGCTGTCTTGGGCACTTTATTTCTAACAAAGGGCTATATGGAACCACACGTGGTGGGTAAAATCCCCAAGCTCAATATATCTAACACCCATGGACTCTGGAGCATCTGAAGTCCAGATCTATTCAACTGAGCTGGAAAAGGGGTTCTCCAATAATTAAAGAACACCAAAAAGTACTCCTCCATACAGATGAATGGGACTAGGGGCTTCAGAGAGGGCTTGGATGACCCTTGAAAGCAGAGAACACGAGAAGAACCCTGATGTCAGTTTGAAGAATCCTGAAGGCAGTGTGACCCAAACTTACAGGGTGCAGCCAAAGACACACTACCCTTGATGCATTCTGATGCTCCTTGGTGCTTTTTGACTTAAGCAGGCCTCCTGCCTTATAACAACTTCTTTCCTACCACCTAGAATAAGTGGAATAATGGAGAGCAGTGAAGGAGCAGGACCTTAATTCACACTGTGCCCTCATATGAGACCTAGCCCAGACAGTTTTCTTTCTCCCTGGTGCTTTCTATGTTCTTCTGTCCTATCATCATGTCATGATGCAGGTCTTTGGTGAAAGAGCACTAGGCTTTTCGATTTTGCTGACACAGTCAAAACTGTACATGAATGCTGAGAAGATGTGTCTCCCATCTTTAAACAGATCATTATTCCAAATAAGAACAAATTCAGGCAATAGACCATAGGCTTACAAAGACTGGGGGGGCTCTGAAGCCAACTGGAATTCCTGCTGTGCCACTTACCAGTTCTGTGGCTTGAAGCAGACTGACTTAACCTGTTTCAATTCTGGTTTTCCCATGAAGCACAGATTAATAGTATCTGCCTGATAGTGCATGCAAAAAAAGAGAATAATGAGTGTAAAATGCTTTAGCACAGTGCCTGGCCAGAAAGATAGTAAAGCTTTGTGCTGCTGTGTTAGAAGAGGTATGCTAACGAGAACCTGGGTAAGCATACCTTTTTGAATCAGTGCTCTTCATCATCTTGTGTGGGACAGTTATGGCTAGTTGGGACCAAGAAGCCAGTCACTTTATGTTAAGTCCCTCCAAACCGCCAGGATCATAATTCCCCCCCCTCTCTCTCTCCTGAATAATAGGCACCGGTTCCTGGCCAAATCCAATTTCTTCAGCTTGCCACTCTCCATCTTGGCAAGGCACAAAATAACTCACTCTCTGAAAATACCAGTTTAACACTGATTAAAAGAATACCCTTGTTCAGCGAGGTAAAGCACTGAGTAATATACTCTCCTCATGATGCTAAAATCCAATAGTTATTTCTTATCTCACTCATCACAAGAGGGAAGGCATGTCTGATGAACCAAGAGACAAAATTGTATCATTATATCTCCACCAGGATGAGTTATGCATTCCTGTCATGTGCCAGGCACCGGGCACAGTACTTCACACATATGATGCTGAATCTTCCCAACAACACCGCAAGACACTGAGTCCTAAAGAAATGAAGTAACTTGCCCCAAACTGAGCAGCATATGGTGATACAGGAAGAGTTATAACTCAGTATGGCTGGCCCCAGAGACTGCACTCTTTCTCCTGCCATACACCATGTTGTTTCCTACTTCTTTGCTTATATTGGGATTCTACAAAACAACCAGAAGTTGTAGCACACCAAAGATTTGATATGTAACTAAAGTAGATGGAATACTAAAAACAAAACAGGGGCACTTGGGTGGGTCAGTAGGTTAAGCATCTGACTCTTGATTTCAGCTCAGGTCATGATTTCATGGTCGTGAGGTTGAGTCCTGAGTCAGGCTCCATGCTGAGCATGGAGCGTGCTTGGGATTCTCTCTCACTCAAAATAAATAAATAAACGAACATTAAAAAAAAAAAAAAAAAAAAAGAATACAACAAAAGCTCTAAGTTGTAAATTCAAACGTCATTTGTCAAAGGTTTTCCTTTATAAAATTTATTCTAAAAGAGTGTCATGGTTGACATACACTGGAAATGTCTTCAAAACCCTTTCAAAGGCCACATACAAAAAAGCTAATCCCATTATTTTAGGGTCACAATTGGTCCTTTGACCAAAAACAATATTAGCTGACCCAACTGTAACTTGATTCACTAGATTTGGTTTCAATAACTTTTCCCCATGGTCAGAATTCACTTTCAATGGACCAGAATCTGCCATGGCTGAGGGATATTCCAAAATAGAAAACTACAAAAGTGGAGTTCTAAAACTGTTCTGACCAGTGGCAATACTGTTAAAAATGAGGTCACAGCAACTTTCTGATCCTTGAAATAATTTTCAGTCTTGGTTCCTAGGATACAGCTCACTTTTTGGCTTCTCTGTCTCTGCTTAACACTCAAACCTTAGTGTCTTCTTTCTTTCTCCACCTTACACTCTTTTTTTCCTTTTTATAAAGAACTATTTAAAATGTTTATCCATCTAATACTGTGTGTGTCCCTGGTGCTTTCTTTTAAAATCTTTTCTTACGAACATTTCCAAATACACCAAAAGTAGAATAATGTAACAAAGTCCATGTACCCATCCTTCATCTTCAATAATCCTCAACACTTTGCCATATTTACTTCATTTTACCCCATACTTTTATTTTTTCTGGAGTATTTAAAAATAAAGCCCAGGGCATCATGACATTTCACACTTGGATACCTCATTATGTTATCTGGAAAAATAAAACAGACATTCTCTCATTTAAACACAATGCCATCAACACATGTAATAAAATTAACAGTAACTCTGTAACATCATCTAATACAATGTCCACATTCAAATTTCCTCGGTCTTTTTTTCTCATACCCCAGGGACAATCACATCAGCTACTAATAAGATAACCTTCTATTGCCTTGTTAATGACTTTCAAGGCTTCAACTTACTTATCCTTGTCTCTCTTCTGAAAAAAGACCCCAAAATGTGAAAGCATGTGTGACTGGATGTTAGTGTCTTCTTACCAAAAAAACCAACAACAAACAAACAAAACCAATTTACTTATCACATATTGAAAATACTTTCTCATATTATTAAATATTCTTTAGGGTACCTGGGTGGCTCAGTCAGTTGGGTGTCTGATTTCGGCTCAGGTCGTGATCTCACTATCCGTGAGTCTCAAGCCCCACTTTGGGCTTTGTGCTGACATAGGCTTTTGAGCCCGCTTCGGATTCTGTGTGTGTGTGTGTGTGTGTGTGTGTCTCTCTCTCTGCCCCTCCCCCACTTGTGCTCTGTCTCTTTCTCTCTTTCAAAAATAAATAAATATTAAAAAAAATATTCTTTGAAAACTTTACTTTTGCTGTTGGCCTAACTGGCCCGTACTACATATTCCATTGATTTATTTAATTATTCCCTATTATTTGTTACATACTTAGGTGTTTCACCTTCATTATTATGAACAGCCCTGTGATGAGCAGCCTTATCCATGCCTATGGTTCACCTTTCTATCTTTTATTTTTTTTTTAATTTTTTTTTCAACGTTTTTTATTTATTTTTGGGACAGAGAGAGACAGAGCATGAACGGGGGAGGGGCAGAGAGAGAGGGAGACACAGAATCGGAAACAGGCTCCAGGCTCCGAGCCATCAGCCCAGAGCCTGACGCGGGGCTCGAACTCACCGACCGCGAGATCGTGACCTGGCTGAAGTCGGACGCTTAACCGACTGCGCCACCCAGGCGCCCCTCACCTTTCTATCTTAATTTAACCACCGAACACCTCTGTGGCTTCAGCCATAATGATGATTTGGTATTTGCCACATGCTGTGTTTTTCATCTATCTTCAAACTGTACATATGACTTGGACACTCTGATCCTCCAAGGCCCAACTTCTCTCTCAGGTGCTTTTACTTAGCTTCTGTGGCAGGTTAGTCATTTCCTTTCAAATGTTCCCCAAACACTTTCTACATTGGACATGATTTATTTATTGGTATTTTGTATTTAATCTTGAACCTACATTTTTACCACACTGACTTGTGAGCTTCTCAACACCTCACTTTTTTTTTTTTAATCTGTAAAATAAAGAGAATAATACTAACTCCATGTGTCTGAATTTTAAAAAAGAGATAAGAAAAAGTGTGAATCATATCATCTGGCAGAGAATTCGAGTTTTACAAAAGTCATTTTCCTTCTTTTCCTCTAATAAGAGAAATTGTAAATGTGTCAGACTATACTCATATGCCTGGGAGGCAAGGAGTTAAACTTTCCCCCAGTTATAGGAAGATAAACTGAGCACAGGGAAATGCTGGGAAAGGGGAAGTAAAATGGTTGCAAGGTCCAGTACAGCCCAGGGACTTTACCAGTTGCAACATTTTCTCTGTAACAATGTTGCTATGTCACAGGTCCTTAGATAACAGAAAGAAAAGAAGTCAGTTAAAATCTGCAGATGGGAACCCTTGATCTCTGAACCTCTTTCTCACCTCTGAGCTCTTCATTGTGCTGGGTTGGTCTGGCCAAGAGAAGGCCTAAAGGCATTCTCAGGCCTATAATCACCTACTGGGTAAGGAAGAAGCCGAGAAAAATTACATTTGTGGGAGACTTTGGGTACTCTCAAAGGTGCATTTGTATCTTTTAGGTTTCATATCTTTCCAGAAACAGGAGTTGGTCTCTGAAAATGCACTGTTGCTGAGGAAACATCAACAGGGCTGTAGGCAAGATCTAGATTCTGGTGCTGGCCGTAGGCATGACCATGGGCACATCAGTTAACCTCCCTGGGCCTCAGATGCAGAATAAAGGGATCTGACAAAACTGGTTCCAAGAGCCAAAGGGACAAAAATTCAAAGAGAATAGAAAGGTTAAATGACTGGCTCAATATCATCATACTTCTAAGAAAAAACAGAGAGCAGAGCTGGAAAAACTATGAAAAGTGATGTAGTTTGAAAACTGTTAAAAGAATCATATGATTTTCAAGAGGTCTGACCTAGTGCTGTGAGAGTGGCATTTAGAAATGCATTTAAAGCTAATTTGGACTATATGAAAATAATTTTCTGTTCTATTCCACAAAGATCTGGAAAATATTCCCAGCCCTGTGTCAACCTTAAATGAGAAAAGAATCTTTAAAGAGCCACTGATTTGTAATGGAAAATTTGGATAAATCAACTATTTATACTCTGGGAGATTTTTATATTTCTTTTTGTCCTTTCTTCAGAACACATAGCTAAGAAAAGCCATGATGTAAGTCAGCTCTATTAGGCCTCATTGGCAGGCTTTTTGTTCTGTATCTACAGTGTGGCAGCTTCTCTGACTACAGCACTTAGTGGACAGGCAACCAAAGAACACATACAAGCTTAAAAAACAAAACAAAACAAAACAAAACAAAACAAAAAAACATGTGAGCTTGGATTAATCTAGCATAAGCCTAGAGAGAAAGAATGTCAGAGCACCTACGTTTTCATCATTTTTGGTCCAAGGTTTATTAGCCAAAGTTATCCAAGCTTTCTGAATCTCACATTCCTCATCCTGAAAAACAGGGCAAACAATTACCTATCTGCTGATGCATCAAGTGATGTACATATGAAAGTATCTTATTATAAGCACCGACCTGATAAGCTGAACTGGGAATAAGTCTTCCTTAAATGTCTACTATCAAATTTCTGGATCTATACCTAAAATTCCACCTGAAATCCAGTATCAGAAGTACTGAGACCCTCCCTAAATACATACTTTCACCAATTCACTGTTTTAGTTGTGTTTAATATCTGGGAAATTATGCCCAACTCCATGCATTTCTTTAAGAAGCAACCTAGCCTAATGAAGAGTAGTCAGGTCTAAACAGGTATAATCTAAATGTGTGTGAGACTGTGGACTCGGTGAGGAAGACTAGACAACTTGGTGTCAGGAGTCACTGAGGAAGCTGAGAATGTTTCATTTGGAATAAAGAATAGAGCCCTTCCCACTGAAGGACTACAGTGTGGCTCAAAGAGTAGCCTTATTTGATTTAGCTCTGGAAGAAGAAGCAGGATAAATGAACGAAGTTCCTGGGAGCTGAATTCAGCTCACAAGGAAGTACTTTTTCTAACAGCGGAACAGTGAGTAACAGAAAACACTGATTGCTGGTCCTGTGGGGGATGGATGAAATAACTACTACACTGCCTTCTAAACCTTACATTTGATTCTTCTCTTTCTGTACCTTTGACTTTCTCTGAGGACACAGAATTGTTAGGAATATAACCTGAAGCACACCCTCCCTCCCACCCCCTCCAACTTTCATTCCCCTCTCTGAAGCCTTGTCCATGCTCTCCCTACAAGGAAAAATACCATTAAGGAAATGTTTCAATGATTTTTGCTGAAAATAGAAAAAAAAAAAATAAAGGTGGCCAATGCTAAATTAGGTTATCTGGTTTCCAATGTGTCTTTTTTTAGTCATCAGATAGCTTTACTGCAGTTGGCTGAGTTTAGTGTCTTCAAGTGTGGGTGGTTAGGGCAATAAAAGGAAGGACATTTTTTATTTTTTTATTTTAAGAGAAACCAAATAAAATCCTCAACAAGATTTTTTTCCCTAATGTGGCCATGCTAGTACAACCTGGCTGTTTTGCTGGGCACTATTAACATCTATTTATAGCCAGTATTTTCATAGATGAATCACATTTACCATGAGACAGTTAATATTAAGGGCTCAACCAGCTCTGCTGAGAACCCCATAATCTTACTACATCTCTTTCCATTCCCCTTGGAGGGAACTAAGTTATAGCTTAATAGTTCCGTGTAGAAAGATGGGTAAACCCAAGTGGAAATGTAAAGGTAGCAGACAGCCTGCTCCCTAAATTCAGCAAAGTATGGGATGTTAAACACATTCAAATTTTAGGCCCTGGCTCACCGCCAGCTTTGTCCCTTAGAGATGAGCATCCTACAGTCAGCACAGACTCCCTATGCATTGTGCAGCCATCTCACCATCAGAATAATTCACCTCTCCATTTTCCTACCAAACCAAGTTTATTTATTTTTTTTTAATTTTTTTTTCAACGTTTATTTATTTTTGGGACAGAGAGAGACAGAGCATGAACGGGGGAGGGGCAGAGAGAGAGGGAGACACAGAATCGGAAACAGGCTCCAGGCTCTGAGCCATCAGCCCAGAGCCCGACGCGGGGCTCGAACTCCCGGACCGCGAGATCGTGACCTGGCTGAAGTCGGACGCTTAACCGACTGCGCCACCCAGGCGCCCCCCTACCAAACCAAGTTTAAATGACACCACTGTATAAAATGCCACATACATAAAAACAGTTTTAATGATTGTTAAATGTGCTGTCAAATATAAAGGAGATGGGCAGAGGATGTTCAGTTCATTTTACGTGTGTATGTGGGGGTAAGGTCAGGGTATACATGGTCAAATATTTTCAAGATCAGTGATACTAACTGGAGGTTTCTGATGAATCCTGGGGATCTAGAGTCACTTCTCCCCACAGCGTGTGCACATACACAGACACTCTCTAAACTTTGTAGAGGCACGAGCACTACCCTGCTACTGATAGCCATTTGTCTTTGACATTTCCTATGAGAGCCTCCACCCTTAATTTATCTTTACCAACACTTTTCTTAACAGTCTTTACTTCGGGCTAAAACTCTTTAAGATTAAATAAGATAATATAAAACACTTAAAACAGCACTTTGCCTATGGTAAGAGGTTTATACATACCAGCTACTTCTATTAGTAGTTTCTCAGTACAGGCATACTTCAGATATATTGCAGGTTCAGTTCCAGACCACCCCAATGAAGTGAATATTGCAATAAAGTGAGTAAAATAAATTTTTTGGTTTCCCAGGATATATAAAGTTAGGATTATACTATACTGTGGTCTATTTTTTTTTTTTCGACAGTGTGTGTGCATGTGCACAAGGGGGGGGAGGGGTAGAGAGAGAGAAGATCCCAAGCAGGCTTTGGGGTTGTCGGCGCAGAGCCTGATTCAGGGCTCAATCCTGTGAACCATGAGATCATGACCCAAGCTGAAATCAAGAGTTGGACACTTAAGTGACTGAGCCACCCAAGTGCCCCTATATTGTATGTAGTCTACTAACTGTGCAATAGCATTATGTCTAAAAAAGTAACATACATACCTTAATTAAAAAATACTTTATTGGTAAAAAAAAAAAAGGCTAACCATATCTGTCAGCTTTAAACAAATTGTCATCTTTTTGCTGGTAGGAGGTCTTGCCTTGATGTTGATGACTGATGACTGATCAGTGTGGTGGTTGCCGAAGTCTAGGATGGTTGTGGCAATTTCTTAAAATAAGACAACAATGTTATCACATTGATGGTCTCTTCCTTTCACAAAGGAATTCTCTGTGGCAAGTGATGCTGTTTGACAGCATTTACAGTAAAATTTCTTTCAAAATTGGAGTCAAGCCTCTCAAACCCAGCCACTGCTTTATCCACTAAGTTTATGAAATATTCTAAATCCTTTGTTGTCATTTCAACAATCTTCACATCATCTTCACCAGGGGTAGGTTTTATCTCTAGAAACCACTTGCTTGGATTATCTATAAGAAGCAACTTGTCTGCAGTTAAAGTTTTATCATGAGGTTGCAGCAATTCAGTCACATCTTCAGGCTCCACTTCTAATTCTACTTCTCTTGCTATTTCCACCACATCTGCAGTTAGTTTCACTACTAAAGTCTCAAACCTCTCAAAGTCATCCATGAGGGTTGTACTCAACTTCTTCCAAACTCTTGTTAATGTTGACAACCTCTTCTCATCAATCATGAATTTTTTTTTTAAATTTTTTAATGTTTATTTATTTCTGAAAAGAGAGAGAGAGAGAGAGGGAGAGAAAGAAAGGCAGAGACAGAGGGAGACACAAAATCTGAAGCAGGCTCCAGGCTCTGAGCTGTCAGCACAGAGCGCAACATGGGGCTCGGAACCATTAACCATGAGATCATGAGCTGAGCGAAAGTCGATGCTTAACTGACTGAGCCACTCAGGTGCCCCAATGATGAATGTTCTTAATGGTGTCTAGAAACCTTTTCAGAAGGTTTCAATGTACTTTGCCCATATTCATCAGTGGAATCACTAAATATGGCAGCTAAAGCCTTATAAAATCTGTATCTTAGTAAGATTTGAAAGTCAAAATTACTCTTTGATCCATGGGCTGCAGAATGGATGCCATGTTAGCAAGCATGAAAACAATGATCATCTCATTACATATCTCCATCAGAGCTCTTGGATGATCAGGTACATTGTCAATGAGAAGTTATATTTTGAAAGGAATCTTTTTTTATAAGCAGTAGGTCTCAACAGTGGGCTTAAAGTATTCAGTAAACCATGTTGTCAACAGATGTGCTATCATCCAGGCTTTCTTGTTGCATTTGTAGCATAATTCTTAAGGGCCCCAGGAATTTCTGGAATGGTAAATGAGCACTGTCTTCAACTTAAAGTCACCAGCTGCATTAGCCCTAACAGGAGAGTCAGGTTGCCCTTTGAGGCTTTAGAATCAGGCACCGGCTTCTCCTCCCTATCTATGAAAGCCCTAGATGGCATCTTCTGCCAATAGAAGGCTGTTTCATCTCCACTGCAAATCTGTTGTTTAGTGTATTCACCTTCATTAGCGATCTTGGCTAGATCCTCTGGAGAACTTGCTGCAGCTTCTACATCAGCACTTGCTGTTGCACCTTGCACTTTTACGATACAGAGATGCCTTCTTTCCTTAAATCTTATGAACCAACCTCTGCTAGCTTCCAATTTTTCTTCTGCAGCTTCCTCACCTCTCTCAGTCTTTATACAAATGAAGCAAGTTAGGGCCTTTCTCTGGATAATGCTTTGGCATAAGGGAAGGGTGTGGCTGATGTGACCATCTATCTAGACCACTAAAATTTTCTCCATATCAGCAATAAGGTTGTTTTGCTTTCTTACCATTCTTGTGTTCAATATGACACATTAAATTTCCTTCATGAGCTTTTCTTGTGCTGTCACAACTTGGCTGTTTGGTACAGGGGTCTAGCTTTCAGCCTTTCAGCTTTTGACATGCCTTCCTCACTAAGCTTAATCATTTTTACTGAGATATGTGCAACTCTTCCTCTCACTTGAACACTCAGAGGCCACTGGAGGGTTACTGACTGGATTAGTTTTAATATTGTGCCTCTGGGAATAGGGAGGCCTGAGGACAGGGAGAGATACAGACAAATGGTTGGTCAGTGGAGCAGTTAGGGCACACAAAACATTTACTGATTAAGTTTGTTGTCTTAAATGGGTCCAGTTAGTGCCACCCAAAATAATTACAAGAGTAACAGAACTGACTACAGATCACCATAACAATATAATAATAATGAAAAATCCTGAAATATTGCAAGAATTACCAAAATGTGACCAAGAGACATAAAGTGAGGAACGCTGTTGGAAAAATGGTGCTGACAGACTTTCTTAACAGATCTGCCACAACCTTGAATTTGTAAAGACCGCAGTATCTGCAAAGCATAATAAATGAAATGCAATAAAATGAGGTACACCTGATACCATTCTTCTAAATTTCTAGCCAGATGAATCATCTTTACAATGAAGTAGTTCCTACTCAGAGCCAACCAGCTCTGCTGAGGATTTCATGATTTCATCAATCAGTGAATCCTTGCTGATGCCCAAATCTGTTGGGCACTGGGGATACAGACATAAACAGGGGACCTTTGCTCACAAAGCATGAACAATAAATCTATTACCAGGTACCATTACTTTCATTTTACATTTGAAGGCTCAGGGAGATTTAGTAACTATGTGTGGTCCACGGCCACAGAGCTAACATACTGGAGCTGTGATTTAAGCCCAGATCTGTCTAACTACACAATCTCATAATCCTTTTATTATGCTATGCCTATGCCACACCCAAGCCTAAAAATAAGCTAGAACAAATCACCTAGCACAATACCTGGATAGCAGGTACTTCATAAATGTTTGTGAATAACTTAATGTTGAACTAGGATTTTTCCTTTACTATGTATGCTTTCTTATAAGATCCTAAGTAGATATAGCATAGTAATGTGCTGGACACTTTGGATCCAGGCTGCCCGAGTTGGGATGTACTACTTGCTAGTAGTATGACCTTCAGCAAGTTACTAAACAGCTACAAGCCTCAGTTTCCTTCTCTGCAAAATGGGGATGAATAACAGTTTTGTGAAGATTAAATGAGTTGATCAAAGGAAAGCATTTAGAACAGGCCTATATTTGTTAAGTATGGAATAAATGTAAGCTACAACTATTACTAATATTTTCTTCCCTAAATCGGAGTTTTGCTCAGCTAATTCAATATAGTAAGTGATCAAGACCAAAAACAATTTCTTTTACTGAGGCTTTTCCAGGTTCCTTTATACAAGTTAAATATCCTCTTCTCCAACATTCAGACAAGAAAATAAACAGGTACATGGAGACTAAACTATCCAAACAGCACCCAATTATGTCTAGTATGCAACTTTTGATATATAAAATTAATAAAGAATGATTAAGAAAATGTAACTTATATAGTATAGTAAGGAGTTGACTAGAAGTTTGTGTGTGTTGAAGGGAGGTGGTAGATTGAATAGGTCACTATTTATATTTATCCATTTCTTTAAATTAAGTAAATAGCTGCAAATTCTTTACTTGTCCTTCTCCTGCAAGGACACATCTTTACCAAGACCCACCATGATTTCAACCAGCTTAAACCCAAGAAAAATTGACCGAGGTCACCACACAGGAAAACAAAACAGAATCTGCTTCTCAGGGCCAAATGAACTGTATTTGTATCCATAGATACAAGACAACAGAGAATCACATAATTCTAAAGTGGGAAGCCCCAGGACCTCAGAGATCATCTAGTCTCAGGCCCAAATCCTGCTGTCAGGGGATCTGTTAGGGGGTGAGGAACACGATAGAAGTCAAGGAAAAGAATCCCTGGTCCTTGTTGCATCCTGAATGACCTCTTAGGGCCAACCTAGCCCAATGTCTTCACTTTAGAAGTGACAACCCAGAATCTAGCTATTTAAAATAGAGCTGAGATCGGAAGCCAGGTTTCCTGAATCCCAGTCTATCATTCTCTTACACTCCTGAGGGCTGCCATTCTACAGCTATGATAATCACAGATAACAATGCATTGGGCTGTGTTAAACTGGCAACTAAGCAGGATTTCTCCTTGCAAAACCATCAGGCATTAGGTCACTGCCAGCACTTTATGAAGAGTAAGGCATCATTATTTGGTATAAACAAAAGCAACTTTCCATTCGTTTTTTGTTTTTTTTTTTTTTTTTTTTAACCTGAAAATCCCAAACCACTGTTGCTATTACAAAATTTTTCTTTTCCTCAGTACACACCCCTGGGCCAAGCACAGATGCATTAAAATTTTGCCAAGAGAAACAATGAAGTCACTGATAATACAAAGCATGAAGTATCATGAAATTCATGTCTTTGTTTTCTTCCTCTTGATACTTAATTACTTCTCATTACTGATCATTTTGTGGTTGTTGGCAGAAGGGCAAGGAAACTCCACCACTGTAAACATGCGGAGACATATAACACCTCAGTAGACCAGAAGTCCGCTCATGATGGGTCTGTTCACAAATGCAATGTGTGTGCCATCAAGAACACTGATGCTACCAGCTCCGGCCCCCAAAGAGGATTAGCAGTTTTTGAAAAACCCTAATCACTTTAAAAAGAATAAACAAAGTGTCAATATATTTCAGGTCATTTCATTTTTATCACTTATAAATGTCATCACTGCCAAAGGATTTGTGGTCTCCTGGCAGATTTCACTTAACTCACCTTAAAAGTGAGGCAAGGGAAGCTGGGATGTGTACAAACTTTTAATCAAGTTTTCTGCAGCAGCTTGGCTTGCCTTAAACTCAAAGGGTACTCATGAGCAATGGTTATTAGCAAACTACTCTGCTAAGCATTGCTTAAGCTTATGCTAAGCATAAAATGAGATTATAGAAACTTCTATAATCTTGGAATTCTGGAAGGCATACCTTGGATAAAATCTGGAGAAATCCTTATTGATTAGCAGAATACAAGTTGATGCTTATCAATAGGCTATTGTTCCACATATGAATATGTGGGTAAGAGAAAGCACAGGAACGCATCATAAAAATAATTTAAAAAACAAACAAAAAAACCCAAAACCTCCACAAAACCTTAGCTTCTGAGAAACTAAAAGAAGAACTAAATAGATTTTACTTCTTTAAAACTAGACATTTATTCAATTTTCTCAAAAATCTGGATCTGTAAGTGTTGTAAACCTACAGTTTTTAAAAAATGGCTGTAGTTTACTTTTCCCATTCCTCTGCAATGTAACCTTACAGCTGCAACCATCAAGAGGTGAAATCTACTACTCCACTTCTTAAATTGGGGCTGGCCTTTGTGATGCTGTCTCACCAATAAAAACGAGACCTTAAAGTTTCAGCTCTCATACTTTTGGAATGCTGCCCTGAGACCATCATGTGGAGAAATCTGGTCTAGCCTACCAGAGCTTGAGAGCCCAGTGGAGCAGGAGTAGAGATAAGATGATCCAGCTGAGGTCTACTAGCCCAACTGGCTGACAGACAGATATGTGAATAAGGTCATCTTAGACCATCCAAGCCCAGCTGAGCTGCAAGATGACTTAAGCCACAGAATGACCCACAGAATTTTGAACTATTGTTGTTTAGCCACTAAGTTTTGGGGTAGGCCACAAAGTGGAAGAAGCAAACCAGTCACCTTGTGGAATACCCATTATGTATGAAGCACCAGGTCAGATACCCCATGGGAGATGCAAATGGAGATTAATAATATTGGACAGAAGACATGGATGGCCCTGTCCTTCATGTGTGAGTAAATCTATAAATAAAGTGGCACTTAATTATCTATTTTATCAATTTTTTAGTTCATGTGCTGTTGAAGCCAGTACAATATTTATTTGTTTTAAATAGATCTAGTCTATGTTAAGAACCTTCCATTATTCCCATAGGCCAGAGCAAGGGTTCTCCTGGGATGTTTAAGACAACTCAATAGGGTAGGAGAAAATAATGAGATATATAATTTTTAACTAATACTTTTCATTTTTATTTCTGAATGTTTTCAAAAGGTACATTATATACAAGTTTTCATAAGATACATAGCACATACCATGCTAATGTATATACATTATTTATAAACACATACATATAATGGGGTTTTCCACAGTCATATCTCCCACAGAACCTCAACCTTCCATCCCTACACAAAAATATACTTCTCTATGCTTTGCTTTTCTCAAATAAATGAATTCTTTCTTGGCTATCTAGGGAAGAATCTGTGATAACTACTACCCCCGATGATTGTTCATCTGTACTGTAATTACTTAGCAAGGCTATAAGTATGTTTCAGATAGGGTGTCTATATTCATTCCACAAAGTATCTGTAACTGTTTGTCTTTGGCAGTACAGCATAATGGCATTATGGCATGATTTTTATGAGTACAGGTTCTGCAGCCAGGTTGCCTGGATTCAAATCGCAGTTCTGACAGGTACTAGCTGTGCAACCTTCAGTAAGTTAGCTGTGCCTCCATTTCTTTACCATAAATGGAGAGAAGAATCTTACCTACTCCATAGAGTTGCTGCAAGAACTGAATGAGTTATGTAAAATGCTTAGAAGAATACCTGGCATGTAGTAAGTGTTCAATAAGTATTAGCTATCATCATTACCACCACCACCATCTTTCAATTTCCAATGTCTAATAGAGTGAATGTGTGATAGAGGGAAGTGAGAATGATAACTTGTAGAGAAAACACATTATGGGGCGCCTGGGTGGCGCAGTCGGTTAAGCGTCCGACTTCAGCCAGGTCACGATCTCGCGGTCCGTGAGTTCGAGCCCCGCGTCAGGCGCTGGGCTGATGGCTCAGAGCCTGGAGCCTGTTTCCGATTCTGTGTCTCCCTCTCTCTCTGCCCCCTCCCCCGTTCATGCTCTGTCTCTCTCTGTCCCAAAAATAAATAAACGTTGAGAAAACACATTATGTGACTCGGAAAAATTTGAAAGTGCATGTTTCAAACTGCAACTTCGAAGCAAAGTGTTTCACTAGTTATCAGCTGACGTTGGCCTACTGCTGACAAAACATATAATAATATGTATATATATGTATAATATGTATACATATTATATATATATTACATATATAATATGTATAACATATATAACATATAATATATATCATATATATTAACAATATATAATATATACTAATATTAACAATACAATATATATATTATACATATATTATATATAACATATATATAATATATATAAACATATAAATATGTATATTTATTATATAAATAATAAACACGTAAGACAATAAACACCTTCAAGTTCTGCTTTTATAGCTTGATTGTTATGGGGAGGCTTAAAAAACAAATTCTCAGCTGAAAATTCTTACTGGGATTATTTCCTTAAGGACTGTCTTCTAACTGTAATCTCTTTCTTGTGGAAATTATCATCCCCTGTAGCATTTAGATTTCTGTGGATTTCTGTAAGACACAGATCCACAAATCTGTCTCTTCTAAATATACTACTGATAGCCTATGCTAGAAGAAAGGCACACTGGCAAGAATTGTTATATACTATAGGGGAAAGGGGCCATAGAGATCACCTCCCCATCTCCCTCACTTCACAAATAAGGACACTGGGCTTACAGAGGGTCAATGTTTTAACTAAGTCCCACAGGTGATTTGTGAAAAAATTTTCTTTTTAAAAAAATGTTTATTTATTTTGAGAGAGAGAGGGAGAGTGTGAGTGGGGAAAGGGTAGAGAGAGATGGAGAAAAAGAGAATGTCAAGCAGGCTCTGTGCTGCCAGTGCTAGAGCCCAACACGGGGTTCAAACCCACAAGTGGCAAGATCATGACCCGAGCCAACATCAAGAGTCAGATGCTTAACCAACTGAGCCATCTGGGTGCCTCATGAAATAATTCTTTTCATTTGACTTCTTGTTCAGTGCACTTCTCATGATCCCGGTTTTAGCAACTATTTCTATAAACTTTTAAGTAAAAGTGTATCATTTGTATCAAGGGAAGCAAGAAAGCCACACCATAAATAATCAACAAAGCGCATGACACACTTTCAGTAAATGCTTGTTGAAGGATGGATGAGGGATGAACAAGGCCTAGCTGGCTGGGTTTGAAGTCCTCAAGGTTTCTAAACTATTCTGACACTCAGGTCTCCCAAGTGGTGCCAGCAAATTGAGGCTGGTGAGAATTATTTTTCTTTTCTTTTAATTTTGAATGTTTATTTTATTTTTGAGACAGAGAAAGAAACAGAGTGCAAGAGGGGAAGGGGCAGAGAGAGAGGGAGACAGAGCCCGACATGGGGCTCCAACTCACAGACCTCGAGATAATGACTTGAGCTGAAGTCAGGCGCCCAACTGACTAAGCCACCCAGGCTCCCCTAAATTTTTAATTTTTTTTTAATGTTTGTTTATTTTTGAGAGAGAAAGAGAGACGAGACAGAGTGCAAGTGGGGGAGGGGCAGAGAGCGAGGAAGACACAGAATCGGAAGCAGGCTCCAGGCTTCCAGCTGTTAGCAGAACCTGATGCAGGGCTCGGACTCACAAACTGAGATCATGAGCTGAGCTGAGCTGCGCTGCGCTGAAGTAGGACGCTTAACTGACAAAGTCACCCAGGCGTCGGAGATTTCTTTCTTTTTTTTTTTTTTAATGTTTATTTATTTTTTGAGAGACAGACAGAGTGTGAGCAGGGGAGGGGCAGAGAGACAGGGAGACACAGAATCCGAAGCAGGCTCCAGGCTCTGAGCTGTCAGCACAGAGCCTGACGTGGGGCTCGAACCCACAAGCTGTGAGATCATGACCTGAGCCAAAGTCAGACGCTTAACTGACTGAGCCACCCAGGCGCCCCCCACCCCCGAGAATTATTTCTTAAACAGAGTACCCAGCAAAGACACAAAGCTATTCTTGTAATCTTTTCTTCTCCCTTCTGTATTCATACCTCACACCTCATTAGATGACAGAGATAATCAAATATACTTGCTTTTCTTCTTGAAATTTTTTCCTAACTATAAAGGCATATAGACTCACTATACAATTTGGGGAAATAAAAATAATATTAATAATAATATTAATAATAAAAGCTAATGTTTATTTAGAGTGCCAATTTTCTACCAGGCATGTTGCAAATATCTGATGTGCGCGGACATGTAACCCTCACAGCAACTTTAGGTTACAAACATTCTATCATTGTCATTCTACAGATGATAAAAGTGAGGCACAGAGGTATTAAGTAACTTCCCCAAAGTTTTACAGCCAACAAATAATGGAGTAGGGATTTGAACTCAGGCAGTGTGGTCCCAGAGTCCACAGTCTTCACACTCTTTTCTACTGTCACTGATCAAGTTTTGGTGTCTAACGCAAATTATAAGGAAAAAAAATTAATTTAAAAATTGATAAATTCGACTAAATGTAGACAGAACATACACTGTGCACCCCCAAAATCCCACTCCTGTACCCTAAAGGAGAAATGTACACAGGAAAAAAAAATGTAATATTCACTGTAGCATTTTTTCTAAAACTGAAAAAAATGCAAACTGTCTTTTCATTAAAAACCTCAAAGCTGGAACAATTTTTCTTGCTATTATAATTTGGATAATAATATAATCAGATGTGAGCTAATGTGTTCCTCAAATATGCATTTATTTTATATTTTCCATAGTGGCCAACTACTATAGGCAGCATTGTCTCTTGTTTTGGATATAAGTGTCCTAACAATAAATTCTTGACGTATCCAAGGATAGATGTGGGATTTTAGCAGAATGTCAGGGATACAGCCAGAGACCAAGGCTTCATTCCTTTAATATTGGACTTTCTTGTCAAAACAATGTAACCCAAAGTATTTTCTAGCAGTAATTCTGATGCTTCTATCTTAAAGCACCAAAGATTAAGAAATTTCAAAAATTTTTAAAGCTTCCAAAGGAAATACAATAATGTGAATCTGCAGAAAGTTAGAACAATTAGCAAATTTACTATTTTACAATTGTGTTAAGTACATCTTAACTCCAGTAAACACTTGGGCTGTGGTTAGAGGCATGACCTGGATCCCGGAGATGAAATACTTGGTGGATGAAGTTCAAATATAGTCTGTTTACCCATGGACATAAGTGGCCTTAATCAAAGCAGAACACCTTTTTAAAATGTTGATTTTAAAAACAGAAGTGTAAATAAAACTGTGATTTATGAATCTGCTAATGCCATTCTCTGCTGTAGACTTCAGAAAGATCGAGTCTTTGGCTGAGGTAAATAGAGCAAGAGTGCAGACCTGTTAAAGCAGTAATAGGTGCCCTTATTAAAACTCCACTTCCATTAGGAGTTACAAATTGTTTTCCTTCTTTTCAGGCTTTAAAGAATGCGTTCCAGAAGCAGTGACACAGAGGGCTCAGCCCCAAAGCAGTTTCCAAGACATAGTAAAGGCCATGGTTTCCAAGGGCCTGAGGACATGAAGCAGAGGCAGCAAGACAAAGACCCCACCAGTGAGTCGGAGGCAATTCTTCCCTGTCCTAAGTCACACGGTGGTATCGGTCACCAAGGAGAGGACCTCTCAAGAGATGATCTATTATTTCTTCTGAGCATTCTGGAAGGAGAACTACAGGTCAGCTGGCTTAAAATTATCCCTACATTCAAGGAGAAGGCTGCTTGTGAATTTGGTGTGTATGCTGCCACGGAAATAGATGATCTGTGGTTCATACCTGTATGTACATGAAAGAAAGTACACATACACATAATTGTCTTCTGCCAACTGGAAGGGCAATTAATCCTACGTAAAAGGGCTCTCATTATGACATGCAATTGGCAAGCAACACGTGAAAGATCACATCCTTTGCCCGTGCTGCTCATGAGCTTCAGTGCACAGGCATGTATGAATAATACCAGACGACTTCTGGATTGCTTTAAATAACAAAAGGCACTTTTATACCCCATGTGAACTGGCTCCTAGACTTGCCCTAGCATTATTAACCTGCATAAGAAATTAAAAACAGCTACTATACATATAGGAGAATCTTATTTCTTACCCTTGAAAATGTTACATGTCAGCCCATAGAAAGAGTATCACGTTATCTGCTTGTCAAACAGTAAAAAATGTTGAGTCTCCCCCATGTTGCACAGTGATCACTTTTCAAATATTATTAACGTATAATTAGATTATAAGAAGGATGAAGGGACATAGTTTTGCTACCTTTTGTAAAAAGGCAATATAAACAAATATGATTTGCTTATATTTGAAATAGAAGAAAAAAGCACTCAATTCTCACAAGAGATCACTTTCAGAGACTGCTGGTAGATAAAGCAAGCTTTCTGAAATGCCTTTTGTTCCTACAGGCTCGGGATGAAGTCATAGGCATTTTAAAGGCTGAAAAAATGGACTTGGCTTTGCTGGAAGCTCAGTATGGGTTTGTCACTCCAAAAAAGGTGTTAGAGGCTCTCCAGCGAGATGCTTTTCAAGCAAAATCTGCCCCTTGGCAGGAGGACATCTATGAAAAACCAATGAATGAGGTATGTATCACATCGGGGTGTGCACCTGGAAGGTGGAAGAGTTCACTAGCTAGCCAAGCACTAGGCCTGGCAGGTGAGCATGACATATAATTCTTTTTTGATTATTTACAGTTTTGTGTTCTAACACATTTAAAATCTTCCCAACTAGATAAATACTACATGTTCTACAGGAAAGAAAAGGAGAATAAATCATACAGGATGTTTCCGGTAGGTTTGTTCCCTGACATGAGACTGAAAGCTGACAAATGCAAGAGAATTTCTCTCTGTCTCTCACACACACACTCACATAGAGACACAAACACCCAGACACATACACACACACACACACACACACACACACACACACACACACACACACACGGGATGGCACTTCTCGGGACTTGAAGGCTATACAGGCTATAATAAAAAACAGATAAAGCTCAAGCACAGAGGTTAATTTCTTTGAAAACACTGAGATATTATGTCATAGAAATTCTGAGCATGAATGGAAATGATCTGAAGAACTGTCCAAGAAATGGAGTTTTAGAAAGCATGTATTTTAGATGAGTGCTATCCTCTTTTTCCTTCAAAAGTTTAATAACAGCAAAGGTCTTCCCCTATCAAGAGTGTCCAGCAATGACAATGGCAAAGAGGAAAAGTCCCAACATGGCCACCACTACATGAAGATGTGGTACTGCTTGCTCTTTTCCTTGCTGACATTTCTAAAACTCTTTGGCATCCTTATTTTATTCTTCTATTTTCCTCCGAGACCTCAATGGAAAATTTCATAATTTTTCATTTTTATAAAAGGGAAACAACTAGGAGCATGAGTTAAGGCTGGAGAGAGTGAAAGCAAGTTTTGGACAAATTTCCCCCACATAAGCTCTGGCAACCTACCTCAGGACTGACCTCCAATGTCCTTGCTATTCTTGTCTTGGGTGTCTCATGAGAGAAGACTACTGTCTTGCCAAATTGTGAAGGAGTTTGGTCATGTGGATTTGCTTCTCTGAGGGGTGAAGGTGAGACCACCCAAAGTCTGTTGACTTGCACTTTAATCCAAATTTGAGAAAGAGGAGCTGAAGCTTCATTCAAGTCAAGAGTGTTAAAACCGTATCCTGGCTCCCAACATAGTGACTGTGAAACAGCATTGGGCACAAATTCCCCAACCCATATAAGCGCAAATGCAAACTGATGATCGCTGAAAATATCCTTAAAAAACTCCAAAAATGGGACAACCCCTCCATACTTCAGTGTGAAATGAATGGAATGATTCCAAACTTACACTGAAATGACTAGGAAAAGCTTTAGTTTCAAAATAATTCTATTAAACACATGCAAAGTTGGAAATAACCTGACTCTCTACAAATGCTTGTCCCTGAAAGTTATCTATAATTTAGCCCTTTACAAATCCAACTGTATTTGATTACTCCCACAACAGATACACATACATACTCCCCTATGTATACACACTTCTCACATTCTCACTTCCATGATCTGCGCACTTTTCTTCTCTTGCCTTCTACTGCTGCCTTATAGGTTTCTCCCTCCTCAGTCATCAGTCTATCTATCATCCCTTGAAGCCCACATAAGTCTAGTTACCCAACAGTTCAGTTGTCTGCCCTCTTTTTCTATCGAGGGCGTAATGAGGCAAGGGGAAGTATCCAGAGAATAAACAATACGGGGGAATTTTAAGTAGGATTCCCTAGGCAGCTTTCTCACCAAGACCATCCATGGCTGTACCTGAATTACTGCAGAATAAGGATCTGCATGCTGAATAATTCTTCTTCTTTCGCTTTTTCCCATCCTGGGGTGTTAACATCCCATGACCTTTTATTTTCTTCACAACGCTCTTTTTGAAAAATGTAACAATCTTAACCAAACTAAAGGGGATTCATCTATACTTAAGGCAAAATTGCTTAGAAGAACTCACTGCTCTCAGTTACGTCACATGGTAGGAACAATGACTTAAGATGAAAGACTGGTAGAGGCATGTGAGCTAGAAGAACAGGAATGGAGTGACAGGGTAGCTGGGCTGTCAAGAGAAAGAGAAGACATAAGAACTCAGAGTCTATAACACTTTTTACCTCCTATTCCTTTCCAAACTAGGGTTCTATATTAGAAGTTCCCTTAAAAAAAGATATTGAAGTTAATTGCCTAACATATTCTTAGTTCTTCCAAAAAAGATATCAAGAAAAATATATTTTGGATTTATCAGGGTACTGTAATAAAATAATCTGCATATCTTGTTAGCAACACCTTAGGACAGTTCTTAAACTAGTTGTTTTAAGCAACTGTATAATTTAGTTTTTAAATTTCATTTTATTCTTTTATTTAATATTTACTGAAGAGTTGGGCTCCTGGATGGCTCAGTCAGTTAAGCGTTTGACTCTCCATATTGGCTCAGGTCACGATCTCACAGTTCATGATTTTGAGCCTCATGTTTCAGCTCCATGCGCTGAAAGCATGGAGCCTGCTTGGGATTCTGTCTCTCCCTCTCTTTGCCCCACCTCCACTCATGTGTCCTCTCTCACTCTCTCAAAATAAATAAATAAACTTAAAAAAATTTTACTGAAGAGTTGACGTATAAAAATAGTTGTGCTTCGGGGAGCCTGGGTGGCGCAGTCGGTTAAGCGTCCGACTTCAGCCAGGTCGCGATCTCGCGGTCCGTGAGTTCGAGCCCCGCGTCGGGCTCTGGGCTGATGGCTCAGAGCCTGGAGCCTGTTTCCGATTCTGTGTCTCCCTCTCTCTCTGCCCCTCCCCCGTTCATGCTCTGTCTCTCTCTGTCCCAAAAATAAATAAACGTTGAAGGAAAAAAAAAAATTTTAAAAAAATAGTTGTGCTTCTTTGGCATATTTAATGTCTAAGAGAGTGACAGAAAGTAAGTATACAACTATATATAATATTGATTTCTATGGTGAAAACCACAAAGCACTATCAGAGAGTATAATGGAAGATCAAATTAAGATAGAAGAATCAGGCAACCCAAGATCCAGAGGAAGAGTATGAATTAGTCATGTAGAACATAAAGAAATTCCATTTCAGTAACATTGTGGACTACATATCCTTTGAAATTATATTACTAAAAAGTACAGAAAAATGTTAAATTAACTAACATACTCTTCAACACATAGATGGGCTTACATGAAAGTAAAAAGCTTACTTAGAAGCAGAAATTCTGAAGCCAGGAACTGAAAGGGAAATTTTCATTGACTGACTAGCTTTTGGCTCCAGATATTCTGAAACTTTCTTCTTTCAATCCATAAACTTCCAGTGCTGGGAACCAAAGGACATATTCATCTTGGGATATAATCTTTGGCCTTTCATCTTTATTTGACAATGGCTGGGTGAGGTGGCACAGTGGCTAATAAATTTCTGGAAGCCTTTCCTATGCCAAGATGTCTAGCAACAGCTTGACTATACATAAAAGTGACTGTGAAACCAAATGAATTTCCTGTTAGTAAGACCCCCAAAACATCCAGTCCTTCCAAAACTACCTGACATGAAAAGAAGCATGATGGAGGCTTAAGTAAACATGGTAAAAAGCCAAAGGTCTTTAAAATATATATTTTTTAATTTAAGTATAGTTGGCATACAATGTTACAATAGTTTCTGTTGCACAACAGAGTGACTCAAAATCTCCTTACGTTATACTACGCTCACAAGTGTAGCTACCATTTGCCACCATACAACACTATTGCCATATCATTGACTGTATTTCCTATGTTGTGCCTTTTATTCCCATCCCTTATCCATTCCATAACTGGAAGCCTGTATCTCCCATCCCTCTTCACCCATTTTGCCTATCCCCCTACCACGCTTTCCTCGGGCAACCATCAGTTTATTCTGTTTTTATAGGTTTGATTCTGCTTTTTGTTATTCATTTGCTTTGTTTTTTAGATTTCACATATGAGTGAAATCATAAAGTATTTGTCTTTCTCAGTCTGACTTATTCTCCTTAGCATAATACCCTCCAGGTCCATCTATATTGTTGTAAAGGATGAAAATCTCAGCACTTTTTATGGCTGCATAATATTCCATTGTATATTATATATACAACACCTTCTTTATCTATTTATCTCTCAATAGACACTTAGGCTGCTTCCATATCTTTGCTACAAAGAATAGTAAATAATACTGCAATAAACATAGGGGTGCATATATTCTCCCGAATTAGTTTTCCCAGTAATGGAAATATTGGATCACATGGTATTTCAATTTATAATTTCTTGAGAAAGATCCATGCTGTATTCCACAGTGTCTATACCAATTTACATTCCCACCAGCAGTGTACAAGAGTTCCTTTTTCTTTACATCCTCCTCAACAGTTGTTATTCTTGTCTTTTTGATTTTAGCCATTCTGACAGGTATAAAGTGATCGCTCATTGTGGTTTTGATTTGCATTTCCCAGTTGATTAGTGATGTTGAGCATCATTTCATGTGTCTCTGGGCCATTTCAATGGCTTCTTTGGAAAAATGTCTATTCAGGTCCTCTGCTTATTTTTCAATGTGATTGACTTGGGGGGGGGTGTTGAGTTGTATATTTTGAATATTCACCCCTTATCAAATATCATTTGTAAATATTTTCTCCCATTCAGTAGGCTGCCTTCCTGTTTTGTTCATGCTTTCCTTCACTGTGCAAAAGCTTTTTATTTTGATGTAATCCCAATAGTTTATTTTGCTTTTGTTTCCCTTGCCTTAAAAGACATATCTAGAAAAATGTTGCTACAGCTGATGTCAAAAAATTACTGCCTGTGTTCTCTTCTAGGGGTTTTATGGTTTCAGGTCTCACACTTAGGTCTTCAATTCATTTTGAGTTATGTGTGTGTGTGTGTGTGTGTGTGTGTGTGTGTGTGTGTGTGTGTTGTATACAAGTGTATGGTGTTAGAAAGTGGTTTAGTTTCATTCTTTTGCATATATCTCTCCAGTTTTCCCAACACTATATGTTGAAGAGACTGTCTTTTCCCCATTGTCTGTTATTGCCTCCTTTGTCATACATTAACTGACCCTATAAGTTTCGGTAT